ATATCTCTATATATGCATTTGTGAACTGTTATTTACGATATTTATAATAATTTTTGTTTAATCACTTTATTTTGACTTTTTTTTGCTAATTATGTATTCACTCGAACTTCGTTAAAATCTTAACTGTACCCCGAACAACGACCGAAGTTGTAGGAAGAAATTCGCCTATTTTACCGATCTAGGTATCCCCCTTTTTCAAATTTTAATATTGACTCAAAATAATTTAAAAAGACAAATTACAATAAAACAGTTTATTATCCAACTATCAGAAATTTCACAACATGCCAAGGAAGAGAGGAAGGAGCAATTAAATAATTAAAATTATAAAATATTAAAAAATATATATAAAAATGGGGAATATTGCACTTCTGACAATCGCTGCAAGTGTGTAGGCTAAATTTGGAGAATCTGTGCTTCTTGCATGGACAACTGTATGTGGCCAGCTCACACATCCAAAAACCTTCCGATTTATTCGTGTACGCACCAGATGGAAACAAAAAATAATGTGTATCCACAAGCACTCAAATAAATAAATAGAATTGAAACAACACTTTAAAATGTTTTCTCGATGAAAATGAATAATAACAATAAGTTTCAATAAAAATGATAAAATGTAAATTGAATTTTATCATAACGAGTTTGCTTGAATTTCCTTTCTTCTGAGATTGCTGCAATGCGTGACGAGTAAGCTAGTATAAAATAAATATTGAAAATTATAACGAGATAATTATGGTTAGCAGGGGCATGCCGTGACATTTGATGATAGGGAAGCTGTGTTTCTATAAGAAGCCGACATCCAGGGGCAATCAGTTAATTCTTTCTTTAAATGTATTTTTAATAGATTATTTATCTGACGTACTTAATAAACAAGTTCATTATAATTACCTTTATTAAATCCAATATATTCCATATGCCCTCTAAATGCCAATTCTTGCTTTGATAAAAGCATATAACATCTATTTATTTAAATACTAGCTCACCCGTCGTGCATTGCTGCGATCTCAGAAGAAACGAAATTCAAGCAAACTCGTTATGATAAAATTAAATTTACATTTCATCATTTTTATTGAAACTTATTATTATTA